CCTTCTTTCTGTTGAAGAATTTCAACCCCACTGTGTATCCTTTGTTTACAGTGAAATACTAATCTTTTGTTGGTCTTTAAGGTACTGCAAGACTATTCGTTGTTTAAGTTTTTCCAGTTACAGACAAACATGGTTACCTCTCAGGAAATTTAAATGTTAGTTGCTGTAGACTGTTGTGCTACAGAATGTTTAGAGCCCTGCAAATCTGTGGCAATCTGCATCCATGATTCATTTTTGCAGATGAGAATACAAATTTTGTATCTCAAACCCTGTATATTTGCGGATAGCTACTTTATATCCATAGGTCTCTGCATCCACGGATGTCAATGCAGCTATCTGGGGCTTATTTTTTGTGAATGTGGATACAAATTTTGTATCAGCGCAGGACTCTAGATACTTTTCTGCTGTGCAGTAATTTCATGAATATGAAATCATGTCTGCAGCAAACGTACTTTATGCAGTACTAATTGATGCATTATTTAAGATACGCTGTCTAGCAGCATTTAAAACTTCTCTTTGGAGGCAAGTCTAGTCTTTTTTTTTTTTTTTTAAATCAATGCATACTTATAAATAGGGCCAATTCCTATGAGCTTCTGTTTCTAAATTAGACAAGTAGTACCTGTTAAACTCAAATATAGCAAAACACTGTTTCCACACTTTCTCTTTAGACTCCTAAAGATGGTAATTGCAAGGGATGTTATTTGTGGTAGTTTTACATGTACATCCTTAACCTTTCCATCACAGAAACTATATTCTGTCTATAAGTGCTTCATCTGGACTGATCGCCCTGCTGTCTACAGGCTCCAAATAGATAAAACAGTGGTCATCTGTTTGTAATTGTGGGTGGGTCCACTTTCATAAAGACTTAAAGGTGGGAGATAAAAACAGTCTGAAAACTTGTCTGAAATTTTTTTACACAATTATAAATGTAAAACAAACTTTGAATTTAGTTTTGGTTACTTGATAAGATATTGTTGAAACAATTGAATGAATCAAAGTGGTGGCAGAAGGAAATATACAGTATTAGAAGTTGTAAAAACAAGCTTAACTCTTTGGAAGCCCTTTGTAATCATAATTAGAATGATTTGTAAAATGTTTGTTGGGATTTCCATAAACTGGATTAGGTTACAACTCAACAGCACAGAAAATAGCTGTGCTCTGAACTGCCAGATTTGAAAATGTGATGGCTTTTTATGTATAAGAGCTTAACCTCTTAGTTACAGAAAGGGACAATCCATCTCTTAATATGTATCATTTGAAATGTTTTAATAAAAAGTTCAAGAATACTGACCTGTATTGGGCTTCTTGATATTTACCCTTGAAATTTTGGGGGACTTAAAACTTTTAGGTAGAAAAATATAAGTAGAGCTTTGTGGTTGTGTCAGCCTCAACCTTGCCCAGTAGTGTTGTGCTTCAGAGTCAAAGCCTCCATGTTACTTTTTAAAAGGCTCTGGTCTAGCTAAGAACCTGGAAAATATGACCCAGGAATAAACCTAAACAAAGTTCTGTTGGAAGTTGTGAATCTGAATTAATACTTTGGGATGAATGAGTTAAATCAAACCTAAAGATGACAATCAAAATGTCAACATTTTAACAGTAGTAGAATATACCTTTCTGGCATCCCTTTGGACAAAGGAAGATGGGTAGCATGCTGGAATCTTCCAGCAGTGTTACCCAGGACTTTTGCCACCTCTCCAGTGTATATGTGGGGGACCAGGTAAAGTTGAGATGAAAGTCGGGAGCTCACAAAAGGTAGAGTCCATGGTCTTGGGAAAGCTAAGGAAGAAAAAGAAAAGAACCATCTTCACTTTCTTCTCTGGGGGGGCCCTAGGCAATGAAGACACTCAAGTGGTATCCCACAGTCTGCAACCCTACCATCTGGGCCTGGGGAACTTAAATTCCAACCCTGCTCCTTCAGAGTTGCACCTCCAGCTGATCGTTAATTCTGCTTTTATAGGATCTGCCCTTCTCCAAGCTTGACATGCCTCACAGGATTGGGGCTGATGGTTAAAGACTTCCTCTGTGTCCCTTTTTGACTGAGAGGGGGATATACTAGAGTTTCCTACTAATGTTGGTGAACAACCCCCAACTTCTTTGTTATTTGCCTAATGCTTTAATTACTCCTCTTCTCAATGATCCCTTCCAAAATCCATCTAAATACCAAAATCTGAAGCTAACACAATGGTTTTGTAAAAGTTGTCACAATGTTACCAATACAAATCTAAAAATAATGTAGGAACAGGCTAATATGAAGAAAATGCAATACTGAAGTATGAAACATAACTGTACTCTGCTTTCATCTACAAGGAACATTAACTGTCTTTTTAATATTTAAATATCGCCTCTGCAGAATTTGCAGAGTGCTGCAGGTATTACGTTTGGCATCACTCTTTCACTCCTGAAGCCCTTCCATGTCACGCAAGAATTAAATCAGTTCAGTTTGTCTTATTTCAATGTATATTTTATCAACAACTTATGGCCTGGGATAACCCCCTCATCTAACAATACTGTTTTTCTCCCCCATATTCCCTCTTTTGAGCAGTTGATCACTTAAAAGTAGTTAAGATCTTAGTGTGCCAAAGAGAGATCATTGACAACTCATTCATGTCAATGGAAAAATCTCATGTAATATTTTTATGGATCTTGTAAGATATTCATCTTTCTGCTGAGTGTATTCTATGCATTTCCTTGTCCTAAAAGTAAAGTCACTGCTAGTAATAATAAATGGTCTAGTTATAAGATTAGGTGCACAAAATGCTTTTATTGTGTACAAGCAGAAGTTTGATTGCAATTCCTAATATACAGCAGCTAAATTCATTTACACATAGATCAATGGATGAAATAGAAGAAAAGAAACATTTTTACTTTAAAAATATGAACTAGGTTCTGTTCATCTGTCATTTGAAATGTGTGCAACATTCATGAAGTTAAGAAAAATGTACAGCACTTTTAGGACCCTTGTATACCATAATCATACCCTTTATGAAGTGGTTATATATGCAATACATGTGGAAAATACTGAACTTACAGTAAATTCATTTTACAAAGCAAAGTAAGGTTACTTTATGAACCTGTTCATTAAACAGGAAGATTAACTGATAAATGAACCAGTGTTTCCTGTATAAGGATGAAACATTCACAAACTCATTGTTTTAAAAATACTTTGTCAAAAATACTAAGCATAATACTTATGGTTGATTTCCAGAATATAGATGGAGCAAATGTAACTTTTTCACAAACAAATACCAATTTTCTGATGTTCTACAGCAACTGTGAATTATATAATGAACAGCTAAGCAAGCTCAATATGCAAAATTCTTAACTAGACTATTTAGAAGCTAAATCACACAACTTGTAATTAACTTTCTGATTTTTTTAACTGTAAAGTCTCTGTTTAGCTACAGCCTTAATACTATATAAAAACTGCAAATTGTAAATTCTGAACTTGTAGCTGAAGAATTTTTATAGTTGAATTTTCTTAGAATGTGTCTTTACTAAAACCTTATGTTTTGTTTTTGTTCATTGAAAAAATATATCTGTACATCCTTCTTTAATTACCAAGTACCTAAAGGATATAAATATTTTTTTGCTTGATATGTGTATTTCACTGTATAAGCATGAGGTGCTAAGAGAAAAGTAAAAATTAATGACTTTAGTCAGAGATAAGAAAATACAAAGAATATTCTCAGTAAGAGAGATCAACTGTGCTTTTGAATTTTACTGCAAATTGGTAGCAACAGCACACCTTGAAAAATCCAGTAACAATAGAGACTAAGCAGCAAGCTGCTAATTTGATTCTCATGACTGGATATTAATTCAGTACTGTACTATATACAGAGCACTATTTTAACCATGCAGTCTTGTTTAATCATGCATTGTATTATGATCTGTAGTCCTTCTTGCTGTAGGGCTTATTCCCTAGAATATTATCTATTTCACTTACAATGTGTGATGTCATCTTTGGAAGAACCTAAGGATGAAGAAAAAATAAAACCCGCATGTTATCAGAATTGCTTAATGGTTCTTTATTAAACAGGTTTTTCAAAATTAAACCAATTGTATAAAATAATTGTTCTGTCTTTGTATGGTAATATTTTACATCTGTAGGGGATCTTTGTTCCTGCCAAATTGTAATGATTGTATGCTAGAAGATCTGTAACTTTTTCCTAAGGCTCTCAGGCCATTTTGTAAACTACAAACATCAGTGAATAGAAACGGGAGGGAAGTTTGTGGTCAAGGATATCAGAGCAAGCCCCTTATGAACAATGCTCTGGGGCTATTTAATGCAGTGCAGACCTTTGTTCTTAAATTCTTCTGCAGAAGATTACTGGAGATTGGAAAACACTATTTGTGGGCTACAGCGAAGTAGAGTATATTTGTTTCTTTAATTAAAGTGTCAGTGGTATTGAAGCTGAAAAATTGATTAAACATTTAAATTCAGGACATACTCCACATGGAGTATGTACAATTCTACCCTGAAATAACTTCAAATAGAAGTAAACAAACACTCTTGATACTAATAATATTTATTCATACGCTACTTGCCTGAATGGCTCCAAGATTTTCTATCAGTTGCTCAGGATTGGAAGATCCAAGAAGAACAGAACTCACACCTTCATTTCGCAGGCACCATGCTAGGAATCAAACCACATGCTCAGAAGCATAAGAATTGTCATACTTCATCTACGTCAGCCTAGTCAGGAATCATTTGTGTGACAGCAGTCAATAACAGATGCTTTAGAGGTGAGTGCAAGAAACCCTATAGTAGGTAACTATAAAGTAACCTGTCTACAAAGCTAGTTTCTTTTTAATCCCTGTTAGATAGTGGCTAGTTGATATTCTGAAGCATTAAGAGTTTATATTACTTTTTTCTTTAAGTATCCATCTAATATAACAGAATGTTCTCATTATCCATATAAAAAGCAAATCCTTTAAAAATTTTAACACTTGACACTTTGTGGTAATGAGTAACAGTATTGTGTAAGTATTTCCCTTTTTCAGTTGTGAATTTCCTGCCTTTCAGTTTCATTGAATGTCTCCTTGTTCTGATATTTTAGGAAAGGGTAAATAGACTGCTCGATTGCGTTATTCATTATACTGTGTAGCTTTATCTTATATTTACTTATTTCTTCCTCAAACGGTCCCAAGCTATCAAAGCCAATTTCCCCTAAGAAACTTGCACTACAAAGCCAGTTCCCCCAGCTTTTGTTGTTATATATACTTTTGAGTCTATTTCCACTCCAACTCCTCTGATGAAGTGGGTTTTACCCATAAAAGCTCATGATCCTATCTAAGTGTTAGTCTTTACGGTGCCACATGATTAGTCATATTTAACATATGTGAGTGTTTCCATGCCTCAGTTCATGTTAATCCAACCCACCGTTGTTACTCTTATATCCTTTTGAGATGGGATGGCTAGAAAAAAGTAGTATACCCAAGGATCATGTGCACTTGAGCTGCTAAAACTGATATAAGGAGGAGGTGCTGCTCCTCCCCCCCCCCCCCCCCCTTAATGTGAAGGATCATTTCTCTGATAGCCATCTGTGCGCAACATTTCAGTAATGGTTCAAGGCAAGCGTGGAGAAGACAGCACACTTAAAAATGATTGACTTCTTTTGAAAGAAAGGCGTCTCTGCTGTGTTTAAAAAGCACAAGTCAATTGGGTTGGTGTTTTTTACAATGGTACCACACTTCTGGGACACCGCAAGAAGCTAAAGGCATGCATGATTATTTCATGATAATTGCTAGCTCACCGTATTGCTGTTGTATAAGGAAATGGATATCGTCTTTGCCAGAGACTGAGCCAAGAATAGGGTAGTAGTTTAAACTGGCATTTTACATTGCACTTCTTCCGTTTCATCTACTCATTTCCTGCAGTTCTTGCCTCTTTATAAAGCACCATTACATCTCACGTCATCCATCGCTGGTGCTCTGGTCTACAGCTTTTATCTAAATGATCACTTGACTTAATCTGTCTTTTTGAGTGGTCACTTGACTCAAAGCACATCTTTCTGAAACCGGAAGATAGCCTTGCTGGCTGTCATTTTGAAAATGCCATTTGAAATGCAACTGGCCCCAGGGATATTGCTGGTTCTCAGGCTATTAAGGCTTTTAAGTTACTCAGGGCTGGTCTACGCTACAGTGGAAGGTCAAATTAAGATACATAAATTCAGCTACGTTAATTACTGGTATGTAGCTAGAGTCAACGAATCTTAAATTGCATTTCTGCACCGTCCACAATGGGAGGTCAACAGGAGCAAACAATCCCTTACGCCTCACAACTACAAGGAGTACAAGTGCCAGCTGGAGCTTTTATGGGTCTGTACTAGACCTGCTAAATCAAATGCCAGAAGATTGCTGTCTGGAGCATCAATCTGCCAGTAAGTATAGATGTGACCCAGAGACCTCTATGGAGTGAATATTAATGTAGTACCCACAATGTCACGGGTTTGTGCCAAAGATCAGTCAAACACAAAAATTGGTATATGAGATTACTATACTAGTTCGAAAGTGGTCTTTTTCTTCAAAAGACATATATGAAGCAAGAGGAGAGGAAAGCAGCAATAAAAATTATATTTTTAGTATTTCTTACCAACTGCTAGCTGAGGTAGTGTGCAGCCAAGACGATCTGCAATTGGAAGAAGGTCTTTCAGCTTTATTTGCTGTTTTCTTCCTTCTTCACTTACAATTTTTTCTTTTAGCCACTGGTAACACTGGGAATCAAATACATAGGAAGGTTAAAACTAAGTGATTACAAACAAAGGTGGGTGGATCAACTTCTGTTGGTGAAAGAATCAACCTGTTAGTCACAGAGCTCTTAGTCATGTCTCTATAACACTGCAAACAGTGATTACAAATTCAATTAAAAATTCAGAGTTGTTACTGGCAACTTATCTTAGCCCACTAGGGAGATCTTGAATGATACAAAACTATTTCTGCATGAAGATGATGATGATGATGATGGGTAAAATATATCATCTTGTAGATTCCACACTGATAATTTTGGTTTCTATGACAGATGAACTAAAAACTAAAACCTTCAGTATAAACGATGGAATATGAAACTACCCTACTTGCTTTTGATCCTGATTGGATTCAAACCCAGAATGGTTCTGTTTTCCTATTTGGGGAGGATGCAAGCAAAATCATAGCCCTTGTTAAATTTTGGCTCAAGGTGTTAGTTAAGATCTTGGAAAAACTGCTAACTGTATGGATTATTACCATTGAATATTGATAACAATTCCTCTGAACAATGAGATTTTAGAACCCTCTAATCCAAATCTGATTCTTCACCCTCAACCTTGAACTGTAATGTCAACACTAATTTGGATCTAGAGCTGAACAATACCAGCTTACGAAAGATATCTTTATACTATGATTTGTCAATTTCATTGAGGAAATAGATTCTTTTGCAATCAAATACAATATTTTGATCATTCTAATATTGTTTTATATTCATGTCATATGTGTAATAGCATAAGTTTATTCTTTAAGCAAATTAGATGAAATCTATTTAATATGCAAAACACTAGTAATTAGAAAGGAGCATGATATAATAATGTCCATAAAAATGATATACTGGTTGAAACACAAGACTGGGTGACAGAGGAGCTGAATCCTATTGCTAGTTCATCCACTAATCATATGGCTTTGAGCAAGTCAGGATTTTGTGCTTCACTTTTATCTGTGAAATCAAAGTTTGTGTTCTGTATATATTTAATTGGTAATAATAAACAGGGTAATTTCACAGGGTTGTTGCAAGGCATTAATGAATTAATAGTTGTAAAGCACTTTAAAATCCTTGAAACTCTTATTGTGCTTTCTATCCTTAAAACTTCCAGGGCTTTGTAGTAATGGACTAAGTATTATCCTCATTGCATGATGAAGAAACTAAGGCATAGGATCACACTGAAATCCAGTGGCAAAGCCAGGAAGACAACCTAGAGCTGCTGACTCCACTGGTTCATGGATCAGCTTCTATAAAAGAGCATAGATGTAAAATACTTTCAGATACGCAGATCTGCGTGCTGCTCTGTTATTTTTCAATCTCAAACAGTTGAGAAGAGCTAATGAAGGGAGAGATTCTTCATCCTTTTACATTTATTGCAGAGGGTTGATTTTTACCCATGAGATAATACAAATGACTTTGTAGTCAAACATCCTGAGCCTTTAAAAATGTTGTTAAAACTCTGATGTCTTAACGCACTGCCATGTTTCAAACTGTCAGTCACGATAAAGACAGTACATAACAGAGCAAATATTAAGTAGGCTTCAACAATAACAGGGAAAGTGGTGCCTTTTGCTGGGGCTAAATGCTAATATTTGTACAGTGAAATGAGTGAGAAAAATGAAAGCAGTTCTGGATACATGTAGATTCTGGCATGTCAGATTGTTACATTACAAATGGAATTGAAGTAACATTGATTTTCATGTTGCAGATCAGCACTAAAGACCTAACTCTACTGTTTTCTTATGCACTCAACCCCAGAGCAGGCCAGCAAGTTATGTATCACCATCTTAATGGATAAAATAAGTTTGTGCAATATCTGTGTATAATTTGAGATTTGAATTGTTGGTGCTAATGGTAGGACAGCAGCATGATAAGGAATAAAAGACAAGTGTAATGCATTTGATGTTTCAGCTCTGTTGTGATAGCTCACTGTTCATGGTGGGTGAGAGTTACTCTGGGAGAGGAATTCAATTTAAGATATGCAATTCCAGCTACGAGAACAGCATAGCTGGAGTTGACATACCTTAAATGGAATTTCTGTGGTGGCCCCACTGCAGGAGGTCGATGGAAGAAACTCCCCCATTGACTTCCCTTATTCCTCATGAACCCCAGGGACTACCAGGGCCAACAAGGGTGCCATCAGCGGTTTATTTAGTGGTCCTCACTAGATCCGTAAAATTGAACACCAGAAGATTGATCTCTGGGTAAATACAGACAAGGCCAGGGTGAGCTGATACCAAGATTCAAATAGTAAACTCTTAACTAAACTCCTTTTAGTCTCCTGTAGCCTTGCTTTTCTTCCCCGGCCTTCTCAATTTCTTTCTTAGAGTGACCCTCGCTCTGGCCAGAAAATACTCCCATTAGAATCCATGAACCCAGTTTGGAGCATCACCCAGAATTATTCTCTTCCCCGCCCATTTTACAACTTAGGGAAGGCATGCACCCAGCCAGTGTAAATTAATGTTAAAGATTACAGGAGTATATTGTTATAAAGTTCAGTGTTACATTATAATCAATAATATTAGACTCTGACAATGATGCTAACATGGTACTTATAGATTAAATAACTCACTTTGATAATTACATATCACTAACCAATGGCTGAATTGTATCTGAGTCTAGTATCATGTGATGTTTCTTTGTTCTTTAATGATGGTCGTCTACATGTAGTCTTATCTAGCCTTGCAACTTGAAATTAATTACTAGGGAGCATGGAAATATGAGGACTTAAAAGGGGGGAAGGAAATATAAAATTAGGACTTTCCAAAGGCAAGCTAATGAAGGCAAAAGCTGCACTCCACTTAACTCATGCTCAATAAATCAGAGCTATGAATCATTTTTATTACCATGCAAGGTGCTTTTCAGGATATTCTGTCAGTATAACAGTAGCTTAAGATGGACAAAATGCCTATTTGCTATGCTTGCTATATATTTAGAATTTACTTCCAAAACTACTGTTTAAATACAATTTTGTGTTCGGCAGTGGTCCCCAACGCGGTGCCCGCGGGCGCCATCTGGGCTGGCCCCGCCCCCGGGCGTGCGGCAGGTGCCAGCTCCGGGCGCATGGGTGGCTCCTGCCCCGGGGTCGTGGCACATGCCAGTGCTGGCCCTGGCCCCGGACGCGCGGCACATGCCAGTGCCGGCCCCGGGAGCATGGCGGGTGGGCAGCCCCTGCCTAGGGTCGCGGCACATGTTGGTGCCGGCCCTGGGCATGTGGCGCATGGGCGGCCCCTATGTGCCCCCGCCGAACAATCTGGGCCGGCCCCACCCCTGGGCGTGTGGCGCATGCGCAGCCCCACCCCCGGACATGCGGCGCGTGAGCGGCCCCGCCCCCAGGCAGCCCCAAAACGTTGGGGACCACTGTGTTAGGGGAATATATGCACATTTAGAACATGATTCCTTTACTGCTATTCCCTGTGTTATAAAAGCCTCCTGATGTACCTTGCATATGCCCTGATATTTCATATTATATAGTAAAGTCCACATAGTCCCATCCTACTCAACCCTGCCTTCCCTTCCTCCCAACTTCCCCCAGTCAGTATGGCTGGTTTGCTGGGAAGACATCTTTGCTATTATTAATTATTAATCTTCAGATTGTCAAAAGCCTCATCCTGGGCAGACCTGGTACACTTCGTTTGGCCCAGTGCTGATTGAAATGGCTCTGGTAGTTACTTTTGAACAGTGGTTTTCACCCTTTTTTCATTTGTGGACCCCTAAAAAATATTGAACGCACAGACCACAGAATGTGGTCATTCCGGTGACCACAGGCTGACAACCATTGCTATAGAGAATACAGTACTCTGTATTTGAGTAATTCAAGATTTTTCTTTTGTCATCTTAAAATTCTGCTGGTAGCACTGAGCAGCACTAAACAAATCTGGTGTATGAGTAGTTGTCTTTCAGCTGCTGACTAACAATATTTACTATTTACAGAAGTTGTTGTTTCCAGGCACTGAAAGAAAATAAAGAAATTTCATAAAAATGGCCTGGGCTGTGATTCTGGGATGCTTTAAGCATGAGACAACAGAGGAAGAAAAAGCTTGAGGTAAAAAACACAGGCAAGAATTCTAGGATCTGGAGGTTTATCTCTGCCATTTCAGAGACTCACTGTATGAGCTTGGGCAAGTCTCTATCCTATTTTTGCCTGTGTTTCCTAATGCAAAATGTTGATAGTGGACCAAATCAATTTCTGGGGCAACTCTGTCAAATGAGCTGAAGATAATCAGAGATAATCTGATCTAGTAATATTCACCATCTTTGAGGGAAGGTGGGAGGCTTAATGCTTCCTTGTTCAGTGTACAGCCAGGTGTGCAAGATATTGCACTCGAGGACAGTGCAAATGAGGGTTATGCAAAGATGCAAAATAAGATTAAGCCCAAGATGTAGCCCTCCACTCTGAGCAATAAGTCTGGAGTTTCCTGTATGTTATTTGCAAGCGTGCAGTATTTAAAATGGGGTGCAATTGGGGAATATGTAAGTCAAAGATGAAGGGGATTAAGCACTAGCATTTAGCTATGAATTCCCTTCTTAAATCCTTTCTTCTATGGCAAAGGAACTAGATTTGCAAAAGTATTAAGAAGTGTGTTGCTGCTGAATGATGCACCACCTAACTTTTAGGTGCATAGAAAAATCACAGGAACAACACAGCTTCACAAAGCCTGAGTAAGATGCCTCAGCTTCTTATACAATGAATTGGGAGAGTGGCACCTTGGAACACAATCCACAAAAGCCTGCAGCCTGGGTAAGGAACCACTTAAGCTAGCCACTTGATCAACAGGTTCCATGTTTAGCCCCATCCTTTTCATTGAGATAAGTGCCTACTTCTGTGTGGGATTCTCAGCTGTGAACCCTGTCCTGGAATTAAGATACCAAAGGTGTTTATTGTAAGAGGTGAGGGAGCTTCTGCAGAACTTTTTCCACAAAGGAATTTACCACATCCCAGGCAAACTCCCTAATAACCACTGGGCTATCAGATATTCTGATATGGGCTCCCTCAGTCTCTCCTGTTAAATCATTGCATATTAATAGTCATTATATCATGGTAACTAGACCTAGGGTCTCCCACCTCCCAGATGTGTGCCTTATCCACAGGCTATAGGGTAATTCTCAATATTGCTATTGGCTTCCCTTCCCACTGTTCTGTTTCTGGAGGTAGGCAGCCTCTGATCATGCCTAACAGATCAAGCCTAATCTGTGATTTCAGCAGATCTTTAAACCCCTATCTTCCCTGGTTAGTGAACCACCTTGGGGCTTAGGTGGGAGATAGATATCTAGAAGCCTACAGTAAGACGACCATGCACATGCTTGGAGGCAGAAATGTAGGTGCCTAGGGAACCTTTAAAACAAACTTAATCACCAAGCAAGTTTAGGTGCCTACTGGGGGAGGCAGCAGCCAAGTGGAGATTTTATGAATATCGGTAAAGCCTAAATCTGGGTCTTTGGCACTAGTGTAGCAGATAGACACCTAAGTCTCTTTGTGAATCTAGTCCTCAGTGGCCAAGCTCCCGTGCTCCCTTGGATTTCATCATTTTTATTTTGAATCCTTCCAGTTCCTAAGCCTGTCTCTGCTTAGCCCCATGGTATAGTGGTGATGCTGGGCATGGGGAGGGCTATGACTGGAGCACACCACACTCCAATAATTCCCAACTGGCACACACTCCCCTGGGGACTATGGTGAGCTGGCATAGGTTCAGACAGCTTCTCAGCTGCCCTAACTTTTACACAAGCCAGTGCAGATCAACCTAAGAATCAAGGAGTCACAACTGGTTTCCTAATGCTGCTTCTCACTCCAGCACCAAGCAGATCTCTTGGCAGGAGAATCTGAGATCGTGTCTACAGCAGGCTGCAGTGTGCACAACAACAGGGAGATGCATGGCAAAAGGCACTTCAGTATTACAGTGTAACTGCCCTGTTTAGACACTGCTAGTGCAAAGTCTAAGGAACTTAGTGCATGTTAACATAGTCCTCATTCAATCAAAATGATGCTACTGCAAACTGGATATCGCTGTTCACATCCTGATAGTGAGCACTGTGGTGCAGTGTAGACAAACAGCCATTTTGTTTTTAAAGACAGCTGCAAAGTGCTTTTAGTTATAATGAAATGAAAGACTGGACTGGAAAGGACAATACAAAAATAATCTGTGGGCTATGAACCAGTGCCAGTTCATGGCAGAGCCCCCGGGCCAATTCACTTGTGTATTAGTATAGATCAACATGATTGTTAAATGTGTAATTGTATTTGGTGTTTATACTTCATGAAAACTAGTGGGCTATTACCAGCATTGTTCTCACTAATCTGTGTCGCATTATAATGTAGTAGCAAACATTTACATTGTGTATATCCCTGTAATTAAATGATCCATGAAATGGGAAAGAAGCCTTGTGGGATGAAAATGAAAAACTTGAACAGAAAAGTGCTAATTTCAAACCAAGTGGATCATTGTGTGTGATGATTGGAGGCCAAAGACAGAAGATGCATTCCTTACTCTCTGTCATCAAAGGCAAAACCCAGATGGGAAGTGACACTGTCAGCTGAGAAGAAGCTGTAAGTGTGGATTCAAGGAAAGATCCTGGCTTTCTGGACTGTTTGGACTCTTACAGGGAAGTGTACCAGATACAAAGCAGAGATGCCCAGCTGCAATTGGGGTAGCCTGAAAAGACTTTTTGGAAATTGGCAGTTTATTACATCACTGCCGCCACTTGGAATGACAAACTGAGACTCATTTATGTGTCTTTTTTAATCGGCTTTAACTTCTTAATAACTCTTATTTCCTTTTCTTATCAAATAAACCTTTAGTTAGTTTAGCATAGAATTGGCTATTGGCTGCGAATTTGGTGTAAAATCTATTTACTAATGGATATGGTGTAAGTGACTGGACTCATGGAACAGGAAGCAACCTAAATGTGCTGTAATTTTCGGTGAAAATAACTATTTTATCACACAATCCAGTTTATCTGGGTGGCAAGATAAACGGGAGAGTCTAAGGGGACTGTCTGTGACTCCTTGGTGAGACTGGCAGTCTCTATGGGGGTGCAGGGCCCAGGACAGAAATGACGAATTCATCACTTCCAGGACTGATGTGTCACTTCCTGGACTGACTGCAGAGGTCAATTACACTAGCTCATGGGGCCCACAAAGTGCAGGGCCTGAAGGAGTCAGCACAATTCATGGTCCCCTAGGGACAGCTCTGACTGGTACAGTTATCCAAAGGAGTTCACGTTTGCTTGATGAAATCTAATTATAGAAAACAGCACCACACCAGTTGGGGATAACTGCCTGTTTTCTGAGGTAGCCACTCACAGTCATGAGCCACTTTGTACAGCCCGACAGACTGTATTCCTCCTCTAGCAAAGGGAAGGAATTGACAAAGGGAGTGGACTATGCAACCTGGTGGGTTTTTTACTGGGCCTTCCTCACCCATAGACAGAATATGCAGCTGCATAGGGCACTGAAAAATTTGGGGTACCACTAGGTCTTAATATTCACCTATGCACCTCTTCCTCCCTGTTCTGTTGCTCTGCTTCCTCTGGAGAAGATCTAGTTAACTTAAAACTGAAACAGCCTGCCAGACCTCTTAGCAGAACACTGAACCTGTGAAAGAGACATTGAAATGGTAATGAAGCCATTTAACAGGCATTTGCCAACCCCAGGTATATATTGTCCATTGCTGAATTTACTGTGTTAGTTTTAAAGCAAATTTTAAACTAAGATACTGTAGACTATTTCATTAGTATGTTGTTAAAAATTATAAAAATCACATCTCTAACAAATCATCACCCCACCTCAGGGTTGTCGTCAGGGTAAGGGCACCAGTTTAGTAGTACTGCGTAGGGTCTCATAAATCCTAATGATAGCCCTGGTCTTTTAAATCTTTAGTTTCTATTGGCATATTCTGAGTCTTCATGAAAAGCCTGAATAAAAGGGCTTTGTGCAGAGGAATTACGTGCATCATATAGAGGACAAAATCCTGCTGTTCCCCAACCTATAATTATGGCCTGGTGCTCTACTATGGTTGGGGAACTTTAGTGATACAAGCCTCAGAAATGAAGTGTTCAATACTCTGTCTTGAATAAACATACCTTTGAGAGCACAGATCATTACAATCCCTGCTTCAATTAGACATCCACGGAGCATTATTCTACTCCCTGTGGAGTTCTGAACAGGGATTTGTTCTGACCTTGTAGGCATAGCCTGCACAATCAAATTCCTTCAAAGAAGAGAGTGGTAGGGTAAGACACAGGTATTGCCAGAATTAGGTTTTCCTATACTTTATCTAGGTTGAACCTCCATAATCTGGATTTCCCTAATTCAGCAACACTTCTGGTCTGGCATAGTCAGCAATCCCATAGAAGCACTCAGAGGGACAAACTGGCAGTCTATGGTTAGGAGCATTCCTGGACTAGGGGGAAAGTGAAGCTGGTATTGGCCTCCCCTGGTCTGGCAAATTCCATGGTTAGGTCCTGAGGGTATTGGATCAGAGAGCTTCAACCTATATTTTTTTGTCCAAGATGATTTTGTTAGGCTCTCCTCTCAGTCTGGAAAAGCCTGTTAACAGACTGAAGAAAAATAAAGAAGGTTAATCTGGTCTAGCTCTGACTTCAGTGCATTTAGGTCAGTTCACACCAATAAGGATCTGGCCTAGAATGCTCACAAAGCTAATGAACAACATCACAATGATGAATTAAACTGTGGCAATGAAACTGAGAATTTCTTACAAAACAG